ATCTACCTGGAGCAATGAAATTGATAGTAATGTCCTCAATTTTGATCCTGCACAAGCAGACAAAGAAAAAGGGAGGAAAGGCATAGATCCAGGTGTACTGATTCCACTGAACCACTACATCATGCACTGCTTCCACTAGAAGATCCCTGTACCGGGAGACAAACCAGTCCAGTTTGTTGTTAAACCTGTAGGCCATAAGATCCTCATCTGGACTGGAAAGAGACGGTGCATTGGAAATATGGGGATGTGTAGGTAGAAGTCCTTGATGCCTACAGAAGCCAGGAAGTCTCCTCAATGAAGGGAGGTGATTACAGACCTGGTGGAATCCATATAGAATCTGTGAGCTTAAATGAAAGCAAACATTCAGTTATTTTAGAGCAACATGATTCCAGGCTGCAAATATCGCCCATATTAGTATTTTTGCCTTATTAGCACCAGAGCTGTTAGTAGAGTGTGAGCTGGGGTACCCGAAACAGCAGAACTGTCCCCCTGTGTCTAGAAATGGACTTATGATTAAAAGGTAGTAAGACAACAAACAGCTCAGGGTACAAGGCAAGGCCTCAAGTATTCACAAATCTCAACTACTGAAAGTAGATGAGTGGCAGATGGCAAGAAGTGACCAAAGTGACTGTAGTCTCAGTGATGCTGACAGTGGGCAGAGCCTGATGGGAAAGCCAAAAGACTTGTTCCGCATCAGGTCTGCTTACCTTATGACTGACAGCAGGCAGATTCAATAGCCAATAAAAGGTTGTTTATTGCCTAAAATATCCACCCACACCCTGCTCTCAGTCACAAGGGAGGACTTATCTGATGAGGAACAAGCCCGGTAGAGTTCCCAATCAGGCCTCAGCCACTTCTGGTGTCTTTACTTACACTTTCAATTAGCCCCCTGCCATGTAGCTTTCCTTTTTGCATGAAGTCGCTCTCAAAATTCATGCCAGACTCAAAAGGACCTGGTATGAAGTTTGTGGGAGGGAGAGGTGAAGGTTCCTGTTTAACATCTATAGCAGATGCTCATCTGGGATACAGGTGTGTTATAGACGAAGGGAAATCCCAGCAATTTTGTTGACGAACAGAAGGAAGCAGCTGGGAGCTTTCATTTGTAGCAATTTAAACAGCATTTTTTCTGTGAACGTCAATTTTCCTGTAATAGGTTGCATACATTGCACAGATGCGCTCCTGCACAGGCAGATTCAGGGCATCACCCACGCATGTTATTCAAAGAAATTGGGCATTTTAATGGTGACCTGCAAGCATTATTAAAATCGCAGCTCCCAACCAAGCGGAATTTTAAAAACATTTCTTTTGCTTTGGTTCATGTCCCCCTGGGCAGTACCCAGGTCATCATGCCCAAAAACGAACCCCCGGTACCTAGGGGTCATTTCTAATAGATAGCAAACATGTCAAGCTTCAAAACTGCGTGTGCCCAAAAAAGGTGAAAAACTTAAATTGTCTACAGGTGATGCTTTAACCAGCTACCATCCGGCCGGACCGTGGCTTCCTAGATGAGGGTGGGCGTTTTAAAACGTTCCACACCCCTGATACTAATATGATGTAGCGGCCATTTGTGTTTGTAACTATGTCTTTTGAGCACTAGAAAATACATCTACAAAAGGTATGTGGACTGCGTTACAGAAACACCATGAGCGTTCAAACCTAAACAGTAAACTATATCTGCTACACAAGCTATAGAAGATGAGGTCAGAAAAAGGCCAGGAAATACGTGAACATGTGAATTCTATGCTAGAAATTGTAGAACAACTACGTGCAATTGGAGAAGAAATTAAAGATAACCATGTGTTTGTCTTACAATATATGTAATTTTGTTTGATTTCTGGTTTTAATGTTGTACTATGTATTATTATTTTGTGCTGATTTTCTTTTGTGATATGTTTTGTGGAAATTACTTTTCTTGTGTTGTTTATGGTATGTCATGTGTCTTATAAATAATAAAAATTATACCTGTTAAAAAAAAAAAAGATAACCATGTGGTGGCATTACTGCTATGCAGCCTTCCCGAGTCATACATCGCTCTTATTAACGCTCTAGAAACCAGACCTGAGCAGGAACTAACACCAGGATACACCAAAGGAAAATGAATCGATGAATATGACAGAAGGAAAGAAAATATGCACAATGACGAAAACTAGAAAGCCTTTAAGGTGCATGAGAGCACAATGCAAAACAAAGAAAGCAGATCGTGTTTTCACTGTAAAAATACTGGTCACCTGAAAAAGGACTGTTCAATCTGGAAAGTCAGGCAGATAAAGCAAGAGGCACCTACAAGAGAAAGAGCTAAGGCAGCTACAAAGGAAACTGCAGACACATCAAGGAGCGCTACCTTTAGAGTGACCCAGAACAATATACCACGTGGATCCAACAAGTCACATGACTAGAGAGGAGACCTTCTTCATAGAAATTGATTTCAGTGCAAAGGACAAAGTCTTCCTAGCAAACGAGAAAAGTATTACTGCAGAAGGTAACAGTCAAGGATTCTTGAACTGCATCACACCATCAAGGGACAAGCAGAGTATCCTCATGAAAAATTTACTGTATGCCCCAGACCTAGAAGGAAGCCTTCTATCAGTGAAAACCCTTGCTGCTAATAATGGTCTCACAGTTCAATTCCGAGGTGATGAATGTACAATCCGAAACAATAAGCAAATCCTCGCAAAAAGGAAAATTGAATGAACACCTGTACAGGCTCATCACCTCAGACAAACAAGTCAAATCAGCCACTCATAATCCACACAACAAATGTATCCATCTATGGCACAGCTGACTAGGCCACCGAAACCCAGAAGCCATAAAATACATTATAAAGAGAGGCTTATCAGAAGATATAACCGTACTGCCCTGCCAAATGCTCATGACATGCAAGTGCTGTATGGAAGCAATGGCCTACACATACCCACTTCCACAGGCCACCCAAAGAAAGACCATCCACCCCATGGAGCTCATACACAGTGATGTGTGGACCAATGAAAACTCCCATATCAGGCGGGAACAGATATCTACTGACCTTCATTGATGATTATTGCAGGTACAACAACTTATCTGATGAAGCACAAGAATGAAACATCAGAAAAACTTCAAGAATCTGTAGCCATGTCCAGCAACAAATTCCAACGGAAACCAGGTATTACACGCACCAACAACGAAGGGGAATACAACAGTAAGGAAGTTGGATTATATCTGAAGAAACAAGGTATAGTACACTAGACCACCACACCATACACTCCTGAACAAAATGGTGCAGCAGAATGGAAAAATCGCACTCTTAAAGAAATGGCCAGAAGCATGCTGTCAGACACCAAACTACCTAAGTAGTACTAGGGAGAAGCAGTCATGACTGCAACATACCTACAGAACAGACTACCATCAAAAGCCATTGGAAGCACCCCATTTAAAATGTGGCATGGATGGAAGCCTAACCTAGGGCACATTAGAGTGGATCTAAAGCGTATGCCTATATTCCCAATGAAAAGCAAAGTAAGGGACATAGAATCCTCCACCCAAAGACCGACAAAGTGACAATAAAGGTGCCCATACATTGTACGAATATCGTACGATAATCGCAAGAAATCCCGCGATCGTACGATAATCGCAAAGTGTATGGAAGGCGTACGACCGTTTCTACTGTACGGTCGCACGTCTTCCGTCGAACAAGCAGGCTGGAAAACCCGCCGGGAATCTTACGATTCTCGGCGAGTTAGTGGCCTGCTGGTTCGACAACTGCCGCACGCGCACACTGCCCGTTTGCAGTCATCGGAAGCCCGCCCCTCATTGCAGTCATGGCAAGCCCGCCCCTCAGGGGGGCGGGCTTTCGATGATCGCAAGTACAATCTGCCTGTCCAAGATGGGCAGATCATACGTTTTTTTTTTTTTTAGGTACTTTACAACCCTCGCTAGACAAAAGTCAACCCTAGAACCAAGCTACCTATTATCGACCTGCAATATTGTTCATGAGAAGAAATGACTGCGGACACACTCACCAAGCCATTGCCAAAGGATCATACAGTTTCCTTTGAGATAAGCGAAACGTCTTATAGCAATGCATATGCCGTTGAGAAGGGGTGTTGCACATACAAAAGCCTATACTGATACATACTGATTGTGTTGCTGACTGGACTATGTCTATTGAGCACTAGATGGCGCTGTAATGCAATTTCAGTCTCTATGGTTATGCATATTTCTCTATGATCTTTATGTTTCCTGTTGATGCTGTAATCCTGTATACATGTATGCAACATTCTTCTAAACAAGTAAAACGTTTTCATTAATCTGCTGCTCATCCTTTCCTGTATTATTATAATACAGGATTTATGCAGCGCCCCCAGTCTGTGCAGTGCTTTACAAAAGGAAGGAAAAGAAGACATAACAGTTCAAATACAATTCAATACAAGAGGATTAGGAGGGCACTACTTGTGAGAGTTTACAATCTGAGCAATCACAGGCTGGGGGAAGGACAAGACCTGTTAGCGTTACTTAATTGCAGTTGAGCACATTTCGGTCTTCTGGCAGGGGTATAGTGTTCATCAGACCTGTGTGAGGGCCGGTTCACACCATAAAGTCCAAGTTCCAGCGCATTCAGCCTAATGTGCCTGCATTCCGGGTGCGGGCGACCGCACTGCAGGCGTGGCTGCGGTGCCATTGACTTCAATGCACCGCCACGCCCCCTCCCACCCCCGAACGCAGGAAGTCGAACGCACTGGAACACGTACTTTATGGTTTGAACCGGCCCTAAATGTCAGGACTGTATGGACAGACATTCAAATCCTTTAGCAGGTAAAACAGGTTCCATATCTATTTCATCAGTGTATTTGCCTGGAGTTCCGCCTTAATCCATGATTTCACTCACAAGTAATGAAAGTCCTGTAATAGTTCCAGGGACAATCGCCTCTTATGAGCGTCCCCAGAGACCAGCCACTGCGAACTTGTATGTTCTACTACAGTCATTACACGCATACTGCGTGACCCCGGTCAACATAACATACAACCTCACACACTCTCACCTCTATGACCGCCCTCTTCTGGTGACGTCACACGCACTGCGGCGTTCACACCTCCCTTACGCAAGGCGAGCTCCTCGCTTGGCGTTGGTGCTGAGAGGCGGGGCTCCGAAAAAAACTATGCCACTTTCCTTCTCTTTCCTCCGCCTCCAGTTAATGAAGTCACCCGGAATGCGCTGGTCGCGTAGGTGACGTCACAACGGGCGGAGAAGAGGAGGGAGAGGTGCGGACGTCGCAGGGAGGCAGATGATTGGGATCTCCGGCCCCCCCTGGACCTCTGACACAATGTGGGAGAGTAGGAAGTGATGCGGGGGACTCAGCTACGGCAGATATGGTGAGCTAACGGGGTGCGGGCAGCTCTGTTCCTCCGATCTCAGGCATCCTCCCACACACTGTTAGGTGTAGGGGGCTTTATCCTCTGTATGGGGGGCGCCAGCACCTAGACTAGATTACAGTTTGGAGATCCCATAGAGAACCTACCAGACATGAGTGACACTGTGACCATTTTTAATCTGCTTTGTCTGAGTCCAACAGAGGTGGTCAGAGGAAGGCAATCAGTGTATCATTCCAGACATGGGTGACCATGTATAATCTGCTCAGTGCCAGTCTTATCAGAGGTGGTCAGGGGCTGGAGATGGCAGGTGGTGTGTTGTACCAGACATGGGTAACCATGTATTATCTGCTTAGTGTCAGTCTATCAAAGGTGCTCAGAATCAGGTGACGACAAGCAGTGTGTTTGCAATCTGACCGTCAATGTTTTTGTTTTGTTTTTTGTAGACTGGTGCATACAGATTCCTTAGCGTTTTCTTTGTAAATTGGAATGTGTATCAAACATTACTTGGAAGGACCTGACGTTTGTCTTATGTCTTTGGACATTCATTGTGCGATATCCTGAGACTGCAGCTAGTTCAATAACCGTGACAATCCTTGACACAGCTGTGACATAAAAACATGTCTTCCGGTGCCCCCTGGGCCCTATTATACGTGTAATTCAGTCTCTGGTGACACTTCACCTACACCAGAATCCCTGAAATTCATCATCTGATATTACTTGTGCCAGCCACTCCGCCGCTGCCTGATCCAAGCCATTTTGTCACCCATGACAGAATTACCCCTTTGACAGGGGCTGCTATGCTGTGCACCAACACTCGTAACCTTAAAAATATTGCTAAATCTGCCTGACTAGAATCAGCCTGGTCATGAAGTCCACAAAATATTTCTGGATAGAGGTTAAATATATGTGCAGTCCTAAAGTGACCATAAACTCAGGAGTTAAATGTTAAAAATGCATTTCAAGTACCTGTGTCCCGGTTTCCTGATTGGTCAGGAAGCCACGCTGCCAGGGAGGCAAGTCATGACGTGCCACCGAGGCTTCCTGATTGGCTAGGAAGCCGGCTTCACTTGTTGCTAGGCAGCCTTGCTTCCTGACCAATCATGAAGCCGGACAGCACCTCATGACTTGCCACCCAGCTTCCTGATTGGTCAGAAAGCCAGGCAGCCTTGGCAAGTGAAGCCGGTGTTCTTTTGCTAGATCACTGGCTTCAGAGGCAATCTGGGCAATGGGTCATGCAACTCCCTCCTCATTGGCCTACCTCTACAACTCCTACCATGCTTGCTCTAGACTTCTCTAGAGTCTCTCCCATCCTGTGAAACTCTTTACCCCAACCTGTCCGTCTATCTTCCACTCTGCATTAATGCGATCCCTTAAAACTCATCTCTTCAGGGAAGCCTATCCCACGCAACCATCACGTTCTCAAACAATTTATCCCCACACAGCTACCTCCTCATGCATCACTCGGCCCTCCCTTTTAGATGTAAGCCCTCACAGGCAGGGCCCCCTCGGGGGCGGGCTTGCGATGATCGCAAGTACGATCTGCCTGTCCAAGATGGGCAGATCGTACGTTTTTTTTTTGTAAGTACTTTTCAACCTTCGCAAGACAAGTGTTGCGAGGGTTGTAGAGTGTAGCCTTTAGCCGATTATTAATTTTACAACAAATGCAGCATTAATTTATTTTATATACATATATGGGGTGTTTTTAGATAAATGTGTTTTTGCATGTAGAAAATACAGGATAACATGCAAACAAATATGAGTCGATGGCAAAAATGGTGTAATTAAATATTTCCCTTTCCATGATTAGATGCGTTGCATAGTCTTACTGTCAATGTTTGGGTTAATAGTGAAGCAATAAGGCCCTATTTTCCCACAGATGCCTCCATGGAAAGTTGGTGATGGCATGTCACGACTTGTTACCTTATAATTCCAGTGTAATCCCTCCAGGAAGAGCAGGGCTTTGTGTTCACAGGCTTGTTGCTCACTTCCTAATTACCTCCACATAGACAGTGTCTCCTTATTGTATTATTGCTTCAAACTGCTTTATGTGTCATTTGGATTTTTGCTGACTTTTTCTATCTTTGGTTCTCCTACAATCAAGTTTTTAAAAGGTAGTTTTCCCGCTGTAGCTGAGATGTCCATGGCAAAAAATGTGAGCTGTACTGAACCCTTTTGCTGCTGGAGCATGTTAAAATACACATTTAGTCCTGTAGATTACTCCAAACCCCCAAAACAAATTTTCTGAAAGCAGAGACCTTGTAGAATAAAACGGTGGCATTTGCATTTTTTGGCATGTAGAAGTTTTGGCATGTAGAAGTGATCGGGCAGCTACTCACTTCTGCAAGAAAGCCAGAGTAAAACTATGTAAACAAACTCTATAGCATCCAGTAGTTTACATGCCGGAGCTGCTGCTGACGTTGTAGTTATGTTTGTGGTAGAAAAAAGATTAAAGGAGAACTATGAGGTGAGTGCTTTTCACTCACCTCATAGTTCTAGCCGACCTGTGACAATGAGACTGTCACAGGTCGGCTCAGTAGATCGGGAGGTGAGCGAACACATACCGGCGTTCGCTCACCTCTCGATCCTGTCACGGCTCTCAGCCGTGACAGGGGGCGGGGCTGGATTCCCCCCTCCCTGCTCTGATCCTCCAGCGCTGACTGGCGGAACGGACGGGGGAGGGGGGCGGGTACAGCTGGCTGTGCCTCTAAATAGGCAGAGCCTGCTGTCACTCACGCAGCTGGACGGATCCAGACATAATTGCCAGGGTCCGCTTCAGCTGCGGCGTCTCAGTATAACGCAAGCTGTAGCGAGCTGTATACTGAGCTTAGGGTGACGAGAGGGCGCTAGTTTGTGTCCTCCCGTTACCCTAAGGAGAACTATGGGGGAAAGCCCTAACCCCATAGTTCTCCTTTTAATAAACATGGGGGGATGTTTGTCAATATTTTCTTAATTATTGTGGTTGCTGATATGATGCGTTCTATATTTTATATTGCAAGTCACAGATATATTTATAGTCTGTGTACAAGTTGCATAATAGAATATCTGCAGCTGTTTAAAAAGGTGCTCAGTAGCACTTCTTAGGCATCATTCACACTGCCCACTTGTGTTCTTATGCAGAATCTGTCTGCAAAGACTGTCGGGGACAGGCTAGATTCTTTTTTATGCTTCTAGATGCTGAACATGATGTGCCTTCACACGTATATGCTTTTAAATGCATCTGCCCTTTGAAGTATCCAATGAGATTTCAGCATGTAGATGCCTCTTGCGTTTACACGCTTTTACAGGATAAAAAAAGTTTCCTGGATGCACCTGACTTCTGTTTTTCCTAAACTGCATCTAAACGCAAGGTGTGAATGGATCAATTGGAAATCATTGGATGCATTTATATGCGTTTAGAAAACCATTAGAGGAGAACTATGAGGTGAGTGCTTTTCCCTCACCTCATAGTTCTAGCCGACCTGTGACAATGAGACTGTCACAGGTCGGCTCAGTAGATCGGGAGGTGAGCGAACACATACCGGCGTTCGCTCACCTCTCGATCCTGTCACGGCTCTCTGCCGTAACAGGGGAGGGGCTGGATTCCCCCCTCCCCGCTCGGATCCGCCAGCGCTGACTGGCGGGACAGACGGGGGAGGGGGCGGGTACAGCTGGCTCTGCCTCTAGATAGGCAGAGCCAGTTGTCAGTCACGCAGCTGGATGGATCCCGGCACAATTGTCGGGATCCGCTTCAGCTGCGGCGTCTCAGTATACCGCAAGCTGAGCCTAGGGTGACGGGAGGACGCTAGTTTGTGTCCTCCCGTTACCCTAAGGAGAACTATGGGGAAAAGCCTTAACCCCATAGTTCTCCTTAAACATGCATATAAAAGCACCTAATCCAGTGATGGTGAACCTTGGCACTCCAGCTGTTTTGGAACTACAAGTCCCATGAGGCATTGCAAGGCTCTGACAGCCACAGACATGACTCCCAGAGGCAGATGCATCTTGGGATTTGTCGTTTTGGCACAGCTGGAGTGCCAAGGTTCGCCACTACTGAAATCGCACCCTAGTGTGAATGGGACCTTAAGCTGACTATACTCTTGTAGTTTTTTTTCAGGTTTAACTCCGTGGAATGGCGAAATCCCTGCCAGTCTGTTGTATTTTGACAACCGGCACCCACAGCTGTTAGATTACCCAAGTTGTTACTGCAGATGAAACAAAGTGGTGGAGACTTGCAGCACAGGACTCGGCTTCAGAGTCAGCAGGACCCAGCCAAAATTTTAACAGTGTATGGTCAGCTTTAGTTTAGAGCCGGATAAATCTTGCTGTGATCTGGGAGCCAGCAAAATACAGCCGGTCGCCATGGTGATCAGCATTTTCCTATGTTGTTTAACTTATTTTTTTTCTCTTTTTTCAGTAAAACAGATTCAGACAACTTCTGGTCGCCATTTTCCTGGCTTTTTTTATTTGGACATTTCCACACACTTTTTACTAAAGAATTAATGTACCTACACACCTTACTCATGCATACTGCCACTAACGCACACCTGCCTCCTGCTGGCGTGCCGAGGCAGGCAACGCTGTTCCTGCTGGCGCGCCAAGGCAGGC